TCTTTGATAAATATAACTTATGTTAGTGTTAATTGACGTGATTCATGGACATTCTGAATTATATTTGAAATGAAAACTGTTTGATTCTTTTGAATGATATCTCTAAATTTTTTAATAGTTCTCCATACATAAATATTTAATTTTTTTTACCTTATTAATATTATTACCATTAGAGATCAATATTTATAAATTATAATCAATTGATGCTAAGCAATTATATTATAGTTTTTCATCAGTTTTTTGCGACTTAGTCTTCTATTAATTAATGATACTTATATATTTTTGCTGCTCTAACATATTGGTAACATTATATACAGTTACTTTAATTTATACAATAGTATTAATTTTTAATCTATCATATGTTTTTTTTAAATTTTTATTCTTTAACTGGATATTTTTAATCTATTATTATTATTTATTATTTTACCAGTATCAATTTGACTATTTTCAGATTATGAAAATGGATAGTAAATCTTAAATTATAAATTATATTTATGTATCTTAATAAAAAAATGTCACACAATTACTCTTTTCTTTGCCAAGTTCTAAAATTTTAGCTTTTTATTTTGTGTAATTTTAAACTTTGAGAGTATTTTGTCTAATTTTTAAAACATTTTGATTTTTTTTTGTAATACTTCATGTAATAAACTGATACCACGGAGCTGTCTCGTATATTTTATTAATCTTATTTAAATTTTTGAGCTATAGATATTTTAAGGGATATTAGGATAGGATATAAGTATGATTAGGATAGATTATAATTTAAATTAAATATTTAAAATAGTACATAGCAATTTTGACTATAGAAAGCTTTTTCCGAACTCGTGCTTTCGAAGGGAGTATGATTTTTGTTTTTTTATTTTTTTTATAATTTTGAGACTAACTTGTCTCTTTAATTTGTTTAGTGGAGTTTGTAAATATCCTATCCACATTATGTACATTTGTAGGTTTAAGTTGTTCCCGGGTTCGACCTTTAGGGTAGACATTATTTGTCTTATTAATTTATTTGATTTTTGCATATACACCCTTCATTTTGTAGATATTTATAAATTTAACATTTAATAATTTTATTTATATTTACATTTTAATTTAAACTGTATCCTTATCTTCATACTATGTATATCCAATAAGAATTCATCAATTTATCAACTTACTGAATTCATCAATTTATCAACTTACTCTTACTTAGTGAAATAATATTTGAATTCCAAGGATATTTTTGTCTACCGAAAGATTTTTTTCAAGCTCGTGCTTTTAAAGGGAGTAAGTATGATATGATGTAATATATATCTATGTCTAATCTTACCGGATATGAATATGAATTTTTGTTACAAATGCATACATTTCTATGCATCCTGATTGATAGGCATATACGATTATGATTAGTATGCGCCACCAGTTGTATCACCTCTTATACGAAATTTTTTTCTCTATATGTTGATCTATCTTGCGTTGTGACGGTGATTTGGTTTCTTTTCACACTTGGTGATTGTTTGTTTTCTAAAAGCGGTGATGGAGAGACGTAGGAAGCAGAAAATAAATGTACTTGTAGCTTTATGTATTTAGAAAAATTTTGTACTAGATTCCTATGACGATAATCCAGTGGATTTTAGATAAAAACAATTATTTGATTGATTATGTGATCATTGGTGATGGATTATGTAAGAACGGAAACTATTAGAGGGGAGACCAAGTCATTCCTTATCACTATAGACTAAGGGCGTGTTTGGTTCAATTTCTTAAAAAAATTATAGAAAAAGTTTTGAGAAGTCAAAAAGTACATATTTTCTTGTTTTTTTACTTTGCTTCTTTGGTTCGAAACAAGAAAACGGCTCATAACTTTATAGAAAATAGCAAGATTTTTTATAATTTATAGAAATTAAACTAAACACCCCCTAAATTTATAGAAAAGTAACAACTTTATACAAAAGTGTCAATGTGGTGTCAGATTTTTGGGTGATTTTTGCCTATTTTGAGAGAAAATTAATTTCTGTAAATTTTGGTATTTTTTTGTACTTTACAGAAAACATTTCTGTAATTTTTTTTTGAACCAAATACAATTTACGAAAATCTCCAGAAAATTTTTAATTATAGAATTGTCATTGTCAGATATTTTGAGAATTTTTTTTTATAAAATTGTGCAACCAAACACCCCCCCCCCC